TGTGTCCATCCAGCAATACACCTTGTTATCACTGGTAAATGATGCTTCGTGACTTAGGTGTCTGTTTTAAAAAAAAACAAAAGTAACATATAGATACAAACAATTAAGAAAAATGTTTTGTTAGCCTTCGCTTAAAAACAGATTGGAGTAAGGAGGATTTGCTGCAATTGTATGACACTTTGGTGAGGATACATTTGGAATATTTTATACTGTTTTGGTCCCCTTCAACTGAAGGAAGAATATACCTGCTTGAGAGGGACTTCAACCAAGGGATTCAGTGGATTGATTCCTGGAATGAGTGAAATGGACTTATGTTCTCTAGCTTGGAAGACTGAGATTGATTGCATTAAGACAAATACTTTGAGGTAGATGCTGAAAAGCTAGTGTCCCTTGCTGAGGTGTCAACTATTATCATAGTCAAACTATATTGGACTGTGACAAGGAGAAATTCATTATAGTGAAGATTGTGATCTTTAAAATGATCTAACCCAGGCTCCTGTAAGTACTTAATTATTGAATTTGATAGAATTTCAATGCAGTAGAAGGAACATGAAATAGGACAGGAAAGTGAGATTGCAGTTCATCTGTAATCTTATTGAATGGTGCAATAGGTTGAGGGGCTGAATGGTCTAGTGTTCCTATTTTGTATGGTAAAAGAGCAGACGTGCTTTAATTGGATAAAGAGCCCCAGGCTCAGGAATAGTCGCTGGGAATCTAGTGAAGAAAATTTAGATTGAATTCTAGCTCCTGATTGCTGGACTCAATCGAAGGGTGATTTACAATAACTGGTGACAAAGTGACCTTATTTCTGAGCTGGAATCATTACTACCTCTTGACTTATGCTGAGAAACAGCATCTGTAAAAGTTTTAAAAATCATTTAATTTCCCTTGCCAGGTGTATGAGATCATTAAGAAGGAGAAGAGTCGCCAGAGACTTGGTTTGGAGCTCATTGCCTCCGAGAACTTTGCAAGCCGCGCTGTGTTGGAGGCTCTGGGCTCCTGCATGAATAACAAATATTCTGAGGGGTATCCTGGACAGAGGTATGGACTTCTGGCTCACCTTGCTTTGAATGACTGCATTACTTGTTCTGACATCTGACTGCACCAAACTGGACATAAAAGCTAGAATGATGGGCTGAAGTGGCAGGAGTAACGTGTCAAATCCCCAACTCTCCCAAATGCAATGGAACAGCAACCATTTACATTTATACGTAGCACCTTTTGACATTGCAGCCTGTAACAAGGTGCATCAAAGGACATTATCAAACAAGCAGCAGATGCAGAGGGTATATTTTATCTCGTCTATATCACCTGTTAACTTTTTTATTTTTCTGTTTTCAGTTTTCAACACTTCCAATACCATAGTAACTACGCTTCAAAAGTACATATGTGACTGTAAAGTACTTTGGGACGTCCTGAGGTTATAAAGGGCACTATATAAGTGCAAGTCCATTTCTTATCTTTTAGCTATCCTGAAACTGAAAACATCTAAACATAACAGATCTGAACTGGTGTTCTCCACTGTCGGCTCTGTTTAACAATTATTTCACTAGGTTCAGAAAACAAAGAACTGGAATTAATTCAATGATTGAACTGGGTTCAACTAAGGGCAATATGTTTCTGATCCTCTGAACAGCTAACTCCTCAATACCTATTGAAATAACTCCAAGGAGGCAGGTATCCCGTCACCAAGTCCGCCTTTATTGACATGTGCACAGTACATGGACTCTGACCAGCCAGTCCCTTGAATCAAGGGACTTTCTGAATCCCCTGCTTATATCTGTAAGCCAGCACTCCCTGATTGGCCCAGGTTAACAGCCCCAATTAAGGATCTCATAGTCCTATCCTTAGCATTAATATTGCCCTTAGTTGAAGCCAGTTCAATCATTGAATTAATTCCAGTTCTTTGTTTTCTGAACCTAGTGAAATAATTGTTAAACAGAGCCGACAGTGGAGAGAACACACCAGTTCAGATCTGTTATGTTTAGATGTTTTCATTTCACCAGATGTTTTGGGCCCTGTTTTTGGGGACTGGCCCTTTCGTTACCCCCTTTTACGTAGGATGCTTGGAGAGGAATGAGGTGCATGTTACTCTGTGAGAATCGTGTAGTACAGAAGCACCGAGTGCAAACAGAACTCAAATAGCTCCTGTATTTCATTGGACAGTTTGTTCACTTATGGTTTCATGGGCTTGAGAGAGGTCAACAATTCCTGAAAAGCAGCTAAAGTAATGGCGCCTTTGGAGAACAAATTCTGGGTGGTTTTAAAAAAAAAAACCCTCCATCTGAAGAAGTAACAACTTCTCCCTGTCTACCCTGGTCCCAATTGTCATCTCTGCCATCATTCACTTGATGAATAGAAATTCCCTGGTACAAATAAGATGTGGCTATTCACTCCCTTGAGTCTGTTCTGCCCTTCAGCTAGTTCCTAATTGGTCTGCATCTTAAATCTATTTATCTGCCTTTGTTTCTATTGCTTAATGTTCTTGCATAACAAAAAAAGACTAGCTCATAATTTTGCAAGTTCCAATTCAGCAGATTTGCAAGGGAAGAAAGATCCAGATTTCCACTATCCTTTGTGTGAATAAGTGATAAAAGTGCAAAGTAAGATGTGCCATGACTCTAATCATCTACCTTGCTCCTCCAGGAGCATTGAGAAAATTTATTTAGGGCCCTCTGCCAAGTCATTTTTAATTTGTTGATCATGGCCTGTTTTGATGAAGTGGCTATCTTTTTTACTGCAGGTATTATGGTGGCACTGAGTTTGTAGATGAGTTGGAACGGTTGTGCCAGAAACGAGCATTGGATTTGTACAGCCTTGACCCAGAGAAATGGGGAGTCAATGTCCAACCATATTCAGGTAAACAGCGCGAGTACAACTCGTTCTACTCCATAATGTCTCTTCTTCTACTCAAGACAATAGCTCATGAGGTTGTTGACTTGCTCGGTGACAACCGATCTACAGATCTTTGCTAAGACTTTAAACAATAGCTCGTCCTGAGGTTACACATCCTATTGGAGCTACGAGAGTCTTTGTTTTATGTTTATGTAGACATCAGATGTCAGCAGACTGTTCCATCAGGTGTGGAGCTGGGGCCTTCTCTTCTCCCCAGATTGGGTTGGGCTATGTCACTGGGCAGGGATCAGGTAGCAGTATGGCCAGTTTGCTTGTTAATGATGATTCTTTGAAGTCAAGAGTGCTTTAGCAACACTTTTTTTTTAGATCAATCTTCTGGTCTTTCAGAAGCCGATTAGAGATATTGAAAGAGTGACAGAAGTTTCTCTCACTCGCTCTCTCCTTCCCTCCCTCTCCCTCTCCCTCACTCCTTCCTATCCCTTTTCCCCTCTTCCCTTTGCTCTCCCCCTTCCTCTGTGCCCCTCACTGCCTAACCATCCCTTTTCCCC